TGCTGCTACTGCAACAAGAACAACGGCAACAGCAGCAACGAGAACAATAACAAGAAGACTGGCAGCAATCAAAGTCGTCGTCGTCGCCTAGTTGTCTTCGTGGCAGCTGTAGTCTTCTTGTCGAAACATGACGTCGCAGTGAACGCAGCAGTGGCAGCCACAATCACCGTGGCTGCGACCATTCGTGTGGTGTGCGGTTTGCTTGGAGGCGTCTCCGTTCAGCAGCAAGTAGGACTGAGTTGGAGTAAAAGGTGGAGACGAGGACAGGGATGCCTATGTTCACGGCGACGATGCTGCTGCCATGGTGCTGATGATACTAATGATGGTGGCATGGGGATTATGGTGGCGGCTATCGTGACTCTTACAACCAGCGCCCTTGAAGTGCGCTCCTGCTAAGTCAAGGCCCAGGTCTCGGTCCACGTGGTCGGCCTGGAGGCCATGGCACGCGCCCATTGCTTCCCTGCAGCTATTGAAAACCCATCGAAACACCAGGGGCCCTGACAGCTCTAAGTTCCTCAGCTGTAGCTACAAGTGCGCTCTGCAGCTCCACCAACGCAATCCCTGAAAAATAAGGTCCTTTAACATCAGCATTGCCCTGGGAACCCCTCCAAAACGACACACCTAAACTTGGGAATCCCTGTTGCACCCCCCTGTTGCGACCCTCAAACAGGGCCGCACATTAAGAGACAGCTCTCTGCCGGAAGAGCTGCGGCACACCAAGACACGGACACACCTGACTGTTTTGCTTTCGGCAGCCGGGGGGCCGCTGGCGAAACAGATCTTGTTTGCAAGATGTCGAGGCGCTGACCGTTGTAGGCTTCACTGGAGATCCATCCCTTCAGTCCAGCAGAAGCCCTCAGGAACGAATTGCATGACGTGCGTGAGGAAGTTTTTTAAAATAGATGTATGTGTACCCATATATCTTTACAAGTTAGCGGCTACCATTTCCATTTTCTAACCATGCNNAAACCATAACAACCTATACCTCAATCCCCAATCCCACCGTAAGACCCATAGCAAGACCCATACCATGGAACCACCAGAAGAACCATACACCGCCACATAGAAAAAGCCCACCCTAAACCCCATAGACCAACACCCCCATAGAAAAACCATATTCCCCAGGATGAAATCCCTAACCCTTGAAAATGAAAATGGGAGTCTCTCATAAAATATCTATATCAGGAATAAGGTTTGCGGATAAGGTAGGAGTAAGAAGCAAGAGTAATATTATTTTGTTGAAATAATATTACAGTTGTTTAAGGCATAAATTACCACGAGCCCACACCATCCCAGTGTTCTTGAAGTTGCCGTTTCATTTTACAATACAGTTCATGTTGTTCAAACTTGGTCTTACCATGTGTATTAAATAGATAAGTTAAGACTTCACAAAAAGCAGGTGTGTTTTTCCCTTGTTTGAATACCACCTAATTTATCAATTTCATCACCGTTCTTTTTTTGTTAATTCAACATCATCAATATTTTCATAAATTTCTTGTAAGTATTTATGGTTCTCATATCTACATTCAGAGTTCATCACTAAGTAATGGAATTTCAATTCCATCTCGCCTTTGTTCTTCCACTGTTGAGCTTTATGTAACATAGAGTCTTTCACAATCTCATAAGGTGGATACGAGTTTTTCTTAACGAATGCCTTAATGTTCTTCACATCTTGTTCGTCCATTTCCCTGTTATTATATGAAGGCTGTATTTGTTTAAGTGTTTTTTTCTCAGAAATTCTCTTCTTATGGCTTATCAACCGGAATGTCAATAACTATCCTATCCTTATGCTTTCCGAATAGCATAAAGTAATCTTCTAAAACCTCATCATTCATTAGTAACTGATGGACATGATTGAACACTTTATCTATATCGGGTTTAGGTTTCTCGGGCTCGGGATGTGGCTCTTTATCAACAAATTTATTAGGGAATTATTCGTTTAATCGTTTGCGTATTTCTCTTTTCTGCTTTTGGCATTCTGCATTAATTTCTGATTGTATTTTATTGTTTAGTTTGCCTTCTTTCCTTAAACTACCTAATTTCCTTAGATAATCTTTCATCAATACATTTAATTCCGAATTCGGACGTAACGCATAATGGAAATGGACATCCCAGTTTTCGTGCTTGATTTTATGTCCGTAATTGGCTCCCCTTTGCCCTCTCCTCTCTTCTCGCTTGGTTACATTCTTTCTGGTTGTTCTTGTAGCATTTTCTTTTCGCTTCACGGCACCTATTACAAGTCTCAAAGCCGTCAAACTCTTCAACATCTTTAGTCGCACAACACGATTTACAAATCACCACCCCTCAACGAGTCCCAATCAGTACCAAGAATACCTGGCTGAGGATGAC